TTGAGCCCTTAGAGTATTGAATCTGTAATGGCCTGTTTCCAAATAGGTTCACATTTTAAGATATTGGGCATTAAGACTTCAACATATCCTAGGATGGGGGTCACAATTCAGCACATAAGAAAATAAATAAATTGTATAATATTTTAGAACAGAGTTAGCAAATGGACCTATATACCAAATCCAGCTTGCAGTCTATTTTAATGAATAACATTTTATTGGAGCACAGCCCTGCCTATTTGTTTGCTTTTGCACTTCAGTAGCAGAATTGACTCACTGCAACTGAGAACATAAGGTCTACAAAGTTGGCCGTTCATGTAAAATATTTGTCAACCTACTATAGACAATCTTAAGTGCTATGGGGAAAAAAACAGGAAAAGAAAGCAGAAGAAGCAACATAGGGTAGTTGAGAAAGAGCTTCATGAGAATGGGAATTTGAGCAAAGGCTATACGGAATTAATCTATGTATTAACTTATATGCCCACTATGTAGTGTTAAAGGAAAAAAGCAAGTAACAAAACACTCATCACATTTATGGTCATATTTTTGTAAATTATAAATGTATGTATTTAAACAAGATGAAGTTAGAATATATGCACAGAATATTTTGCAAGAGTATCCACCGACACCAACATGCTCATAGTAGTCATCTCCTGGTGGGATTATAGGGAACTTTCATGTGACATGGGACTTTCACATGACAGTTTTTTTTCTTACTTGAAATTTTAAAAATATTGTTATAAATTCAATTCCTTATGTTATTAAATATATTAAAGGCTTATTGCATAGGAAACAATATTGGAGGATTCAATTCTTCACCTAAGTTTTAAGTTACTGTATTTCAAAAAGAAGCAACAATTATTCATGCTAGAGGTTGAACTATGACTGAACAAATCTTAAAATGAATTTTTATCTGTATATGTGTAGAATAGTTTGGCAGTTGAAAAATTTGCAGCTTTAATTTATTCCTAGTGGAAGACAAAAGGTATGATCCTGTTAAAGAATTGCTTTTATCATATTTAACAGAATGTCCCTTGATAGCATTACATAGACGTTAGGGAAATTTGAATTAGGCATGGCTGAACCTTAATATTTGCAAATGTGATATCAAAGCATGACACTAGGTGATTGTGGTTCCAGCTACTAAGGCTGAAACAGGAAGATCACTTGAGCCCAGTAGTTTTTGGCCAGCCTGGGCAATGTAAAGAAACCCTATCTCAAAAAACCAAAAACTCACATTACTACTAGGATATTTAAGTAATCTTACAAATTATTTATGGAATTATTCTTTTCTCAAGTTCAGGAGATCTCTAAAATGGTATACTTTATGCAGACCTGAAAGCTTGATATTAGACAGGGATTTTAAAAGTTCACATATAAAATATGAAAGTCAGTTTTTTGAACAAGGTTTTTCTGTCTTTAAAAGCAAGACCCAATCAAAAGAAATGACAGTTGGAAGTAGAAAACTGAGTTTCAAATCCCTGCTTCGTTATTTACTAATATTGTGATTTGGGTAAGTATTTCACCTTGTCTGATTTTTTTTCTTTTATAAAAATCCAGTAAATAATCTTTGCCCTGTCGACCTGCTTCTCTAGGATATTAAGAGAATCAAATGAAATAATTTACATAAATGCTTTTTGTGTGCATAAAACAGTATCCAAGTGTTGGTTATAATGAATTCAAAATTGATACTAATGGAAGACAAGAGAGGGTAGATTGGTGCTAATGGAAGTAGGAAGAAGGTAGGTACTTTTGTAAATAATTAATTTCATAATCGATTAATGTAAGTTTGGCCAACTTTTTGCAGAATTTATTTAAATTGACAATGTACTATAAAACATAACAAATTTCTCCTGTCCTGATGCCTCAACTTATTTACTGAGTAAACATAAGTTTGCTTTCTTTTTTCCAGTTAGAATTCATAGACTCTTCTAAAACTACAGCGATAATATTACCCTAATAACAAAAGTTATAATAGTCTTCCTCAAGTTTAGTGTAAATCTGATGTATGATCATGCTTTTTTATTCTGTTCTTGGTGTTAAGTTAAAAAGAAAATGCACATAAACAGAAAAATCACAATCAGTAAAAAATAATTTATAAGGGCCACAGCTATTAAATATTTGTTAATTAAAACTACACTGCATTTTCCCCCACTTGAGAAAGCTCATGGAAATGAGCATGAACTATTAACAGTTATCTCAAATTTGTTCTTATTTTTAAAGTATATAATAAATCTCGATACTTTAACATTAATAACAGATTACTTAAGATACATCTTATAGCTCCTTTTAGCACTATTACATTGATCTACCACTGTTGAGGACACCTGTAGAAGTATCACTCAGTTCTGAGGTAAACCTTTCCTGTAACTATGATTGCTAGTCATGTTCTAGTCATGTTTTAAGTTTGCATAGAAAATTCCGTAAGAAATGAAAAGCGAGGGAGTGCTATTAATTGAGTTTTAAAATGAGAATGTCATATCAAAAGGAAGGAAAAAATTTAAAAATGTCGGTTTTGTCCACTTTAAAAGAGATAAGCTTCTACATGAAGTTAACTACAGGGCATATATTTTGTAAAGGCTCTTGTGTCTCCATCTCTTAGATGCACTAAAAAAATCAAGTGCCTCAAATAGATGCTCTTTTCTCACATCTCAGTGACAGTCTTCTAATAATAATTGCTTTCTGCTAAAATGCTACATATTTAGTTTTTAGAAAATGTTATGGTATATATCTTTTGGAAAAGTTTGTTTGTTTGTTTGTTTGTTTTGAGACAGAGTCTCACTATGTAGTTGAGACTGACCTGGAACTCACTATGTAGCCCAGGCTGGTCTCGAACTCACAGCGATCCTCCTGCCTCAGCCTCCCCAGTGCTGGGATTACAGGTATGCGCTATCACGCCTGGCTCTTTTGGAAAAATTAAGCACTGATTTCTTTTGGCTGTATACCTTGTCTGTGCAGCTTTTGTTTCATTAATTTAGATCTGAGAAATACTAAAATTTACTTGTTGTTAGTGTTTAGTCCGATAGGAAACCCATGGGTCTCCTGCATTTCAGCGTGTCTTATGACCAGAAGTACTGACTGCCTTTTCTCTGAACTGTCTTTTCAAGGGTAGTGGGAGATAGAAGTGGTATCTCCCCAGACAGCAAAAGATAGGTTTGCTTGTCGTCTTGAAAGATCACGATAATGCCTTCCACCAAAGTAAAGAACAAGAATTCTTCCTGCTCATTTTTATAGATTCAGGCTTCTTAAGCTCTGTCATCTGACTCTTCGTAATACAGATGGCACAAGAAAGTACTGATACCTTGCTAATTTTAAGAGTAATAAAGTTGCCAGGCGTGGTGGCACATGCCTGTAATCCCAGCCCTCGGCAGGCTGAGGCCGGAGGATCACTGTGAGTACGAGACCAACCTGGGCTACATAGTGAGTTCGAGTTCAGTCTCAACTACATAGTGAGACCCTGTATCAACGCCCCCCCAAGTAATAAAGTCTTTTGTCTGACTCAAAATTCTCATCTTTTGCCATTATCTATGAAATGTGGCATGCTAACTTGTTAGCTTGAATACGGTAAAATCTCAGATCAGAACCTTTGCCTTTCTTTTTGTTGATGTGTTGTATTGTTTTTATTTTTTTGAGACACAGTCTTGCTATGTAGTTGAGGCCAGCACTGAATTTACAATGTAACCCAGGCTGGTCTCAAACCCATGACAATTCCTCCTGCCTGAGCTTCTCAAGTAATAGGATTACAGACATGCACCAGGACAAGCAGCTGCCTTTGCTATTCTTAACACTATTCCATGAATATTGATAAATGTATAGAGTTTATAATCATCATCAGTCAGGTCAGAATATTTCCATCTCTCTAAAAAGTTTCTTTGTGTCCCTTAACAGCCTCAGCTCTAGGGAACCCATGATCTGCCTTCTGTCACCTTCACTTTGCCATTTCTAGAATTTCCTGTAAAAATGAATATGCAGTACATAGCTTGCTGTGTCTGGATTCTTAATGCTTTTGAAATTCATTCATAGTTGCATGGACAGTATCCATGATTCATTCTATTCTGACTGCTGCTCTACTATGTGGATATGCTGTGGTTTTGATATTTATTTCTCCTTACACCAACTAATGGACATTGGGTTATTTCTAGTATAAGATACTATGAATAAAGCTGCTATAAGCATTTCAGTGTGTCTTTATATGGACATATATTTCTATTTTTCTTGAGTATACATTTTTAGGAGTAGAAATGTGGAGTCTTATGGTAGAACTTGGTAGAGAACTGCCAGATTGTTTTCTGGAGTATCTGTATCATTTTTAATTCCTATCTGAGTTATTTTTTATAATGTACATCTCTCAATTTGAGTGAGTTTGAAAGTATTTTTATAAGGGCCAGAGATTTGGCTCAGTGGTTCCGCTGCCTGCCTCACAAGTGCAAGGGCCTGAGTTCAATCCCCAGCACCAAAAACAAAAACAAAAACAAAAAAACCCTAAAAAAAAAAAACCTAAAAGAAAGTGTTTTTATACATTTTAGTTACTTGTGTTTCCTTTTCCATAAGCTGTTACCCAAGTCTTTTTGCCTGGTTTTCTACTAGTTGTTAGAATTTTTTAGTAAATTGTATGCATTCTCCATATATTAGGCATATTTTTGATAATGCTATGAGTTACAAACACATTTGTGAAGTGTATTTTAAGGTTACTTGCAGTGAATTTTGCCAGGCAGAAATTTGTCTGACATTCTCAATCTCATAGTTATTTACTAATATGTACACTTAACATAATAAAGAAAGATTTTTAAAAATTAAGTTTAAAGTAAAATTATGTTTTGTAGAAGTTTCATATAGCCATAACTTTAGTGGGAATAACAGTATTCTGAAGACTGAATTTGTGCATTCTTATGAATTTTACCACCTTTTAGAAAACAGCTATACAACAGAAACAAAAGAGTGTTTTAGGTTATGTATATGTAAGAGAAAAATATTAAAAATAACAGTACATGTGTCTGTTACAGAAATATCTATTCAAGATGTTGTTGCTGCATATTTGGCTCATACAAGCTTTGGTTGTTTTGCTCGTCTCTGAAAGTATAGGTAAGGCTCACAGCATAACCTTTCTTCCAGTTCTACACATAGGTTTGTGGAATTTTATATACAGTACTCTTAATTTTTAATATAATTTGATGTCTGAGTCATTCAGTAACTAATTTCTGTTTAGTTATAGTAACATTAAGGTGAGGAGGGGGGAAAGTCTTGGGGTTTTTTTGTTGTTTTTTTTTTTAATAAAGGACTAGGAGAAAATCTGTTAACTCTTAGTATTTTGCTCCTAAATGCTACAAGTATCACTGAGCAGAGTGGTTGTGTTACCAGAATGAAGAGATAACTAAGCAGTACTATACAAACTGTAGATGCTCATCTGGTTGTTACTGGCCCACAGTGAGTTAAATGCCAAAGTTGAAAATACATATTTAGAAATTCTCAACAACAATTTGACAAAATTATGATATCTAAGCATATGATCAGTGGATTTAGCAAACTTGAGTGTATAAATCTATGACAGAGTGAAGGGATTAAAAACCCTGCCCTTCCATCACAATTAGTTTGAAAAGTACCGCATTAAATCAGCCCCTCTCCAAAACTAGGACCACAATTTCTTTCTGAACATTCGAGTGAAAGAAAGTTTATATTGAAATAATTTATTACTTAGAAAGATCTTTCCTTTTCATGTGTATGTGTGTGTGTGTGTGTGTGTGTGTGTGCTTGGAACTCAACCCTGAGTCTCATGGGTATTGTCAGTCATGCACTTTATAACTGAGCTGCATGCACCCCTTTAATAACTTTTTTTATTTTTCCCCAGTACTGGGGATTGAACCTAGGGCCTTCACTCTGAGCTACATTCTCAGCCCTTTTTAAAATTTTGAGGCTAGGGCTAGCTAAGTCACCGCATTGCCCAGGCTGGGCTCAAATTTGGGATCCTCCTACCTCAGTCTCACAAAATGCTGGGATTATAGACACAGGCTAACATACCTGATTATCCTTCCTTATTCTTGAACCCAAATTTTCTTCTTATAATTTTTCCCATTTAGTTCCAGAGTAGGTCTGTTTTATCTTCTCACTATTCAGCTTTTCACATACTGAAGGACTGTTTCCTATGTGTATCTTAAGCCTTTTTACTGAAACTAAATTTAGCTAGTTATTCTAATCTTTTTTTTTTCTGGAAAAGGTAACACTTATAATTGAAAAGTTTTTTGTTACCACATTTTACCTTATTTAATACACCCTAGAGCTACAGGAAGTCTGTTCATACTTGAACTAAATCTATAAAAAATAGCCAAAATATCAGCAATTTCATAATTTCATTTTAATATTATCGTAGTGTATCCTAATCTACATGTCTTTTTGTCCATATGAATATTTGAAATAAATTTATTAAATACTTTTCTTAATAAAAACACTTTGCAATTTAGTCTTCTGAATAACCCTATAAAAATGGGAACAATTTGGCATGTGATCCAATTAATGAGCTTATTTCTCTTTGAAAACTGGAATAGTTGCCCACTTATAGTATTTCTTTTATTCTGTGTGATTAAAAATTAACCATATGAATCTCTGATTATACCTTATATTCTTTACTTTGGGAAAAGTAAAGCAGGAATGATTTTTTCCAAGAAATAAAGTGAAATCTGAGGAGTTATATGATTGGCCTAGTGTCAGAGGGTAACTCATTAGAGATTCTCCACAAGATGAAGTTCCATACTTTTGGAAATTGAAAGTAATATATGCAGTAGAACTTATGGTAGACAAGTGCAAATAATGGCAAGGTGATATAAATAGGTCACATTAAAAAACTTTTTTTTTTTTTTTTTTTTTTTTTT